AGAGAGAGACAGCGAGAGAGGGAACACAAGCAGGGGGAGTGGGAGAGGGAGAAGCAGGCCTCCCGCTGAGCAGGGAGGCCGACGCGGGGCTCAATCCCAGGACTCTGGGATCATGACCTGAGCCGAAGGCAGACGCTTAACAACTGGGCCACCCAGGCGCCCCTTAGTATACTATTTTATATGTTATACTCAATGACAGTCTGTCACTGTTTTAAAAACTGAATGTTGCAGCATATTAGTGGAAGAAAAAAGCTAAAATAGAAAATGTCAGACTGCAGTGCAGGCATTAGACTAAGTACTGTTTCAAGAAAAACGAGTATTTCAGGTGTGTATATGTGTGTTCACAGCAGCAGCAGAAACGGTCCTTGATACTGTACGTTCTGTCTTAAAAAGTTTGAAACGTGATAAATGACTTAACTATTTCACATCTCATTGAAAATGACATTAAAACTATAATTAAAAACTGACCTAAAAGTTGAAATGTATTACTCTGTAGATCTCATTGATTACTGAAATCTGTGTTTTTTATGAACAAATTTGTTGATATTTCTTTGCAGTTAGCATCTGGAATTTATAATTTTGCCTGCTCTCTGTGGAATCACCATACAGACACATTCCTTCAACACGTTTCTTCTGGCGGTGAAGCTGCAGTTCTAAGTTCACTAGAACGAACTCTGCTGTCATTGAAAGGTACTATTAAACTTGGTATGTTCATTTTTGGAAATGACATACCTCAGAAGAATCAACAGATAGTTCCTCTGATGGATTATCTGCTCTCACTTGCCCTGGGAGAGTATGTGGTTAGTCTCTCCCTCACATACAAGGCCTTATTTGTGGTTGGTTTTTTGTTAGTGAGAACAGCCTTTCCTCAAGGAATTTGTGGGATAAAAGTGTGGGATAGTTTTATGTTATAGTCACATTTCTGGGGTCTCGGGGCTCTGAATATGTTCCTTTCAAATATTTCTGCCTTTTTTTTTTTTTTTTTTTGCTTCTACTTTACACTTCCCTTTCTGGGCTCCTACCCTTATCATTGCTGTGCTAACTTCACTAAACTTCAGTCCTCAAGTGTTCGTTGAGCTCTGTCTCCCAGGTCTGTTTTCCATGAGAACTCAGCTTCTGTCTTTCTTGTTTGTACGTCAGGCTCACTTGGATTTTAGAAGGTGCTTGATGGCATGCCATCTTAGCCTGTGTTTTCCTGTGCTTTGCTTGTAGGGATCCCTTAGCATAAATTTCTATTTTATCTTCCCCGAGCTGGTTACCTTGACAAATATATTCTGAGATTCCTTTCCTTAACAGAACACTCATGCTTGGCTCATTCTCTTTGTCTTCCAATCTTTCTCCTCTTCTGGTGCCTAGGCTTTTTATTAGTTTGTATTTCTTAGTTTGATCTCAGGCAGCCTTTAGTGCTCTTACTGTGGCTCATTTTGCATCCTTTGGCTTTACTTATAAGCCCTTTTGTCATACTCCTCTTAGTACCATAGGATACTGCTGTACACTCTTGGCACTGCTCTTGTGCATCACTTACCATTGATCAGACAGTGGATGCACAGACTTCAAACTGTCAGCACATTTTGGTGAACCTTGTAGACAAAAGCGTGAATGAATTTAAGGGACTGCTGACAAGTAAAATTCATTATACAGGTGGTTGGTTATATAAGTGAGTGGAGATGGTTTTGTCAACATCCTTGAGGAAGAAATTTAAAAGGATTTAGAGATAAACATTTATCCAGAAACTGGTATAAGGTTATGTGTACAAGACTTGTGTAAGTTCTGTATTTAATGATTAAGGAATTTTCACTAGTGCTTTTAATTGTGGTTTTCTTACCTTACTGATTTCAAAGAGTAACTGACAAAAAGGATGCAGCACTAATCTACATTAGCCTGATTTTAGCTTTCCAGTACTTCCTTGTCTCAGGGTCGGTCTTAGCTACACCGTAGCATTTCTAAGATATCTTGACCTGGAAAAATCCCATAGCATTTCCTTTTAAAGTATTTGTTCTGCCCAGCTGTAAATTTCTATGACTTGAGCAAAACTTAGACTACAGTTTTTGTTATATGTAATCTGAGTCTATACCTGTGTGCACTTAGACATGCATATATATAATCATTATTTCAATAAATTTGTGGTTAGGTGTTTGACACTAGATAGACATAATAAAATGGTTACACAAATATATGTAAAATGACACGTGACAGTGGTCTTACAATATTATGTTAACTGACAATGCGGTCAGAAAGGACTTCCTGAGAAAGTGATGTTTGAACCAGAATCATTGTAGGGTAAGTAGACGTTAACCAAGTGATGAAGGAGGAAAGAAAGGACTGTCCCAGGTAATGTGGAGCAAGTACTTTTGTGGGAATGAATGAATCCAGAATAAGGGGCTCAGTTTGAATCCTGTTTTCTCCTATGATGATGAGTAACTTTTGAGTTGCATATAATTGTAGTTTGAAACTGATAGTTTTGTGGACAGTTGTGTTCTGAACTTTTTTTTTTCCACCATTACCCCCTTCTAAACCTGTTTTTAGTATACTGCCTTTGAGCTTCACGTCATGAACCCTAACTCTCAGTTACAGAGATAGCAGTGCTATCTGTAACATTTTCTTAAAGTGATGTGACTTTGAATTTTGTAGTCTCTGTTGCTGCCATCTTTGTGTTTCTGATTTGTGCTGTTTTACATATATTATTCTGTTGAATCCTTTAATAACCTTATGAGGTAGGACTTACTAACACAGTTTACAGACAAAGAATGTGAGATCTAGAAAAGTTGTTCAAAATAATACAGCTGTAAACATCGGAGCTGGGATTTAAATATAGATCTGACTTGCAGTCGTTTATCCTGCTTGTCTCCCTGTGTACACCAGTTACTCATAAAATGTGATGTTTGTTTATACTTGAGCGCTGTAGTCTATTTCAGATTTGGAAATAGTTCAGCTTTTATATCCTTTATAGGAGATACTATATTTTCATTAATGTAGTCTAAAACTAAATGAAGCTCTTTGGTCACTGCTGAGACATAATTTCATGGTTATGGAATAGAGAGATAACTTTCTCAGTTTCAACTTATAGGGGTTATTGCTAGTGAGAAGTACTAACAATTATAGCAATTAAGTTTTGCAATATAGTTTTAGAAACATAAGTAGTTAAGATATGTGAGAAGAACACAGCTTTTTTTTTTTTTAGAATAACAAAAAAATATTTTACTAAAACATAAGATTTTCAGAAGTTTCCAGACAAGCCATACAAAATGGTCACAAGCTTTTTCTTGAAGGAAGGATTCTACACTTGACAGCAAAGTCACAATGTTATTAGTGAGGGCTGTGATGTTTGTTTAATGTTCCCATTTTGGTTCAAACAATCAAGCTTGTCCATCTACAGCATCTAAATAAAGTTAGACTTGGCTAGAGAGCATATTCTAAAGAACTGGTTAGCTGCTTTTAACCAATGCAATTAGATCACCATAAAAAGGGGGAAAGGAGCCCATAAAATTAAAATAAAACTACCTCTCCCCCTCAAAAAAAGTAATAAAGAAAAACACCCACACCCCTGCAGCTAACCCTGACAACTACCTTCATTCACAGTGCTTTATACTCAAACCATGGTGGGGGAAATGAATAAAAGCAGAGAAGGGCCACTGCTTTTAAACGTTTCACAACAATCCAGATGGTACTTCTAGCCTCTGCTCATGCTTTACAACAATGAATCAGGACAAGACATAGATCTGCTAATGTGCATTTAATCACCAAAGGACTGAAGATGTCTGGGCTTTTATTCTGTAATGTTTCTAAGACTGTGTCCATTAAATGCAAACAAAAAAGGAAGAAGTCTTGGCAGAAAAGGAGAAGTGATGCACACTTGATGATCAGATCGATTTTAAATATTATTCATGGCATATAGCCTAGTCCATGCTCTAGCTGTTTCTATGGCTTGGGCATCGTTGGTCTTCCACTGCTCCGCTGCATCATTTGCTAATGGATCAGCTGGATTGCGAGCACTTAACAAAGCCTGGACCGATAGCAGAACTGTGCAGATCTGCAGTGCTGGGGACCCTTTATCTTTCAAAATATCTAAACATATTCTTCCCAACTTGTCTACATTAGGATGATAAATTTTGGTCATGAAACATACTTCAGGGGCTGCCATGGGGTATTCTCTGTTGGGAATAGTTCAGGCTTAAAAGTCCCTCCCTCAAAGGGGAAATCCTGGGGGCCAGCAAAGACCACATGAAAATAATGGGCGTTGCTCTCATCTGGTTCTGCCTTTAGTGCCAGGAACTGGTTCTGCCAGCAAACGCTGGGTTGCCTTGATAATCCTGCAGGGCAGCCCGGCCATCTTGTCAGATCCCGAGTTCAGCCTCTGGTCCAAACTCTCAAGAACACAGCTTTTGAGTCATAAGAATTTGACTGTCATTCCATCTTTCCTACTTGGAAACAAACCAATGATCAGGGATTACCTTTCTTTATCTATTATATGAAAGGATGAAGTTAGAGTAACCCCCAGTCTTGATGAGGTTTTGTGATTCTGAGTCTTTGTTATGATTATGATTTTATAGGATAAGATATGAGGCATTTAGTGCAATAAAGCTCAATTTTACTTTTCAGTGCTGCGTAAATTAACTGTTAATGGATTTGTGGAACCTCATAAGAATATGGAGGTGATGGTAAGTGAAAGCAGTTACTGATTCTTTGTGGCTTTGGGAAAGTGCTTGGTATTTTCCTGAATGTTTTAAAGCTTATTCTTTTTACTTGGCATTCATTTACAAGTTTTTATTAAGTGACCTTTTACCATTTTGTATGTGTTATACTATACTTTTTAGACTTACGGCCTTTTTTTCAGTATATCAAAGCAGCTCCTTCGTGAAGGGGAGGAAATAAGCCTAGGACAGTTCTCAAGTGCCATGATACATTGAGTGTTATTTATAATTTGAATTGGGGTGAACTTCTTGAATTTGAATGCTGTTATTACATTTCTAGGTCCATTGTGGACCTAGATATTTAAAATGATTTTTTTTGTTTGATCATAACATTTATGTGTGCTCTTTGTAGTCAATTGGATGTATATATACAAGAAGGGAAAGCCCTATTGTTAAGCCCAACATTTGTGATGTATATTCATTGTTTGTATGGCATCATCTACTTTTTCTGTGTACAAGAATATATAGCTGTATATATTTTATCCTGAAACAAAATGAGATTGTATTATATATTTACTCAGATCTGTGTTCGTTTTCACAGTGAGTTTAAGTCAGCTAAAATGTTGCTTTGTATAGGTTGCTTTGGGGGTGTTGAACAGAATTGTGAAAAAAGTACATCTCATTGGGTCTTTGGGTCTGCCCTACCAGATTTGACCAGAGTTACTCTGTTTTAAATCTTTAGTATACTGTGCCTGTCAGTAAGATTTTGATTGCAATAATGATTCTACTGTTAAAAGAATTTAAAAGCTGGTGATATACATCATTATAGTGTGATGGCTATTTTGTTCTATAAAAGTGTTACATGCTTATTTTTTTAAAAGTTAAACACAGAAGGAAAGGAAATAAAAAGTCATTTGAAAACTTGGTATCAAAGATATTGCTAAAATTTGTAAGTATACTTTAAGACATTTTATGCAGTCTTTCAGATATTCTTTTCTCTCTTCCTCAGTTTTATGTAAATGGGACCCATGCTCTGTTTCTTGACTTGCTTTTTCTTAAATTTATATGTCATTTTTCTCATGGGTATTTTTCTCATGTCAGTAATATATGTTATGTTTTTAATGATTCTTTGGTAAATCCATGTGATTACTGTCAGTGAGCTAATTTTTAAAAAGTGATAACATTAATATAGGATTCCTATAATTTACCTGCCCAGTTATCCATTGGAGCTAGGATTTAAATACAGTATTTAAGGGACTCATTTACTCATTGAAAAGTAATGATAACTAACAAAAAAAAAAATTCCTAGTTATCCACTGATGGATATATAGGTTGTTTCCAGTTTTTAATTGTTGGTCAGTGATGTTGGAATGAACATTTGGGTATATATGTCATTGTGTACTTTTCTGATGCACTCTTCAGGATAAATTACTAGAAGTGGAAATGGTTGATTCAAGTACAGGCACATTGATAGCATTGATTGATATTGTCAAATTGCCAAAATATGTAAAAAAAAACCAGCCATAATTTTAATGCTGATACATTTTAAATATTTATATTTATTGCCATAGTGCCATAAAACACTTCCAGAAACCAATGAGACAGCTTCTCCTAAATTCCTGCACTGTAATGCATTACGTTGCATAAAGGCAGAGACTATTTCATTCACTGTCAGTCCCAGAGCTTGGAATAGTCTCTGCCAATAGTAAATGCTCAGTAGTTATTTGTAAAATGAATGAATATGTGATAGAGTGAAACAGTAGGTCAGAAGGCTCAGTAATTATTTTATTTTATTTTTTTTTAAAGATTTTATTTATTTATTTGAGACAGAGAGAATGAGAGAGAGAGAGCACATGAGAGGGGG